CCGATGGTCTATTCAGGAGAGTCAGTCCAGATGTGAGATGGGGGTTCCAGGTCACATTGACCTGGGCCAAAACCAGGATGACAAAAGCAACCATACACAATATACCACCAGCAGGCAGGACAGGACAGGAAGCTCCAGGGCACAGACTGAAGGATACCACGGTCACTCATGTAAAAGGAGCCAGAAACCACAGCAAAAAAATATGTAAATCTCCCCCTGGAAGGGCAGTAGAGTCTGACCCTGTGGCGCTTTCATTTTCACTCAGGAAAGTCAAGAACTGCCTGCAGCTCTGATGTCCTCCTGAAAGCAAGAGGAGCGCTTCAGGTCCCAGGGTGGGATCGGCTTCTTGGCACACACGTTTGCACATGGCTAGGAAAGGACTGTGCTTCTGCCAGCATGCCCTTCTTCAGGCACGAGTGGGGACAGACATGGAGAAGCAGATAAACACTTGTCTTCAGCAGCCTGTCTCCCTCCTTCCAGCCAACGGGGCCAGCCTTGCATCTTGGGGATCCAGGACCCATGTCTACTCATGCCACTCTAGCTGGAAGAAGGACCATCAATCCAGCTCTAAGCAGCACTGTATGTGGACCCTCCTTTCCTGGTGGACAGCTGAGGCCCAACAAAAATGAGACTTATAAGTCCAGGTGGAGCCAAGCTGAAGGGAAGGAAACTGCCTACTAAACCAGACGTCAAGATGGACATCAGACAGGAATACTCCAGATCCAGGTAGGGAAGACGCCGTCCCCAACCTGGTAGAGAACAGGACTGTACCCTGGTGTTTCTGACACGCTGGTGACTCCCTGAGCATGACCCATGTGTGGGGAAACACCCCCAAATAGGCTGGTTATTTATGGCAAATAAAAACCAAGATGAGACCTGAGCAGCTTTGGAAGGTAACTCACCAGGAGTGTCCAGGGAGATTGACAGATACGCATTTAGTACCTGCCCGTGTCTCTCCCTTACCCCCACCCCCAGCCCCCAGCTCCCAGCAGCTTAGAATTTACTCTGAGAATCTGACCTTGCTGGGGTCAGATGGAAGCAGCTTCATGAGTTTTCTGGGATTGTTTCCCAAGAGGTTTGACCCCATCACTCCTGCTTTATGTCCAAGAGTTTCCCAGGCCCTCTTATGGACACTCCGCCTGTCCTCACTTAACTGATCTTATCAATGATCATCATAGGCACCTTGCAGAATCATAGATCCTGGCAGAGGCTTACGTGCACTTCTGAGACATCCTTTGTCTCAATGAACCCTACACACATATTTTAACCACTTCTCGGTGATCCATTATGTATCTGTGTGTGTATATACACACAAGAGGTATATGCTCCCGGGTGGCCTTGTTCACATGAGGTCTGCAAGATGTGCCCGTTGGACAGTGGGCCATCTTTTCCACTCCCATGCTCCAGCTTCACCCTCGACACTTGTAAAAGGTCACCCTCTGTATAGAATCAGGGACGCTCCCACCTTTTCTTCACTCTCAGTCTAAAAAATTAAAGGAAAAGATTTAATTGACAAAAAAACAAAAGTTCATGTACGTGTGCTCATCGTTTTTGACATTCTGTCTGTGCATTGCATTAGTATTGAGAACGCTCTCTTGCAGCCTCGGAGTTCACTTTTTTAATTTTTTTTTTTTTTTTTTTTTTTTTTTTTTTTAGGAATTGAACCCAGGGATGCTTAACCACTGAGCAACATTCCCAGCCCTTTTTTATATTTTTATTAAGGAAAGGGTCTTGCTGAATTGCTTAGGGCCTAAATTGCCGTGGCTGGCCTTGAACTTGAAGCCCTCCTGCCTCAGCCTCCTGAGCTGCTGGGATGGCAGGTGTGGCCAGAGGGCAGCTTCTCTGTTTCCAAAGACCCTAAGATGAAGGAATGAATGCCTCCACGTGATTTCTAAAAGCAGATCACCTGTGACACACAGAAGAGGAGAAAGAGACAGCATCATTACTTCTCCTTAGCCTCAGGGAACACTGAGCGTGGTCTGTAAGAATTGACATACATACTTCCTGTGAGTGGGACCACGATACCACACCACGGGGACTCCTCAGTGGCCTGCATCTTCACAGACTCTCCCTGCGACTGGGTGGAAACTCACTTCCCCTCCCACTGGCTCCCCTGTGCTCCATTGTAAAGCTCCACCAAAATTGGTGATGGAGATTTCAGTTACATTCCACTTTTTATTTATTTATTCATTCATTCATTTTGCCTTTTAGACAGTATTTTGATGCAGAATCTTGTATTCCTGATGGGCACACTTACCCACTCATTTCCAACCCTAGGATAGTCTAAGTTTTCCTCCTGCAACCTCGGGATTCTCTGTCATGCGTGGAGTGACTTCACTCCCACGGTCTAATGTGCAGGATGTGCAGTGAAGTGCCCGAGCTGCCAGTCCAGATCCCAGCTCTGCCTCAGGCCAGTTGACCTCCCTGCACTCAAGTTTTCCCACCATCAAAATAAGAAGGGATATTGATTTGTAGCTCATGGAGTCTTGGGGATAATTAAATTTGGTGATCCATGTCCAATGTCCTGGTACTTTGCAGATTCTCAGTAAACATCAACCTTTATGATTGATAGGGCTTGTAGCTCTGCAGAGAAGATCACTTTCTAGCCTCTTTAGGACTTATGTTGGCTATGTCCCCATTGACAATTTTGCACACTTAATTTCCACTTGCCAGTTTCTCTTCTCTCTACCTCCAACTTGATTCTTCTCTTTCCTCATCTTCTGGTGAGATCCATTACTGATTCTGCTATTCAAAGCAACTAGCCAATGTCTCAGTAACAGAATCAAATAGACCTACCTCTAATCTCCAAATTGCACTTACAATTTCTCCTATAAAACTTAACTACTGTAGTGGTCGGTATTAATCCTTGTCTATTGTAATTGATCATCTCTGATCTATAACTGAATTTCAATTTTTTTTCATTTATTCTGCAAATGTTTGTTGAGCATTTGCCAAGCACAGATACTGGACCAGATCTCCCAAATACAAGGCAAATAAAATAGCCAACAGCTTACAATCTTGTAGGGAAAAGCGAATCTGACAGCAGGTAGAGCAGATAGGCATTCTAGGCCTCGTGACCTGTCTCTGCCACTTCAGATCACCCACTTGGGAATAGTCTGAAGAAGGTCTCTCTTGAGCTGAATCAAAGAAAACTAGCTGTCTATAAGCTGACCAGGTGGGCAAAGGCGTTTCCAAGCAGAGGGAATGTTTTATAAAAATTGGAGAACTGTAAGCAGTTAAGGGTGGTGGGAGCCAAGTGTGGAAGTAGGGAACACAAGTTGAGAGGGAAGCAAGGCCGTCAAAAGTCTTCAGTGGAGTTGTGGCTCAGTGGTAGCATTTGCCTAGCATGTGTGAGGCATTGGGTTCTATTCTCAGCTCCACATAAGAATAAATAAATAAAATAATGATATTGTGTACATCTACAACTAAAAATAAAAAAGTCTTCAGTGTCCTTCAAGGAGAGATGATGGGGACATGATGGGACACCAAGACCCTGGGCAGCCCTACTAGGTCCAACACCTGGTTAGCTCAGTGACACTTGAGCTCTGCCTGTCCTGTGACAGCAGACCACTCCATCAAGTAAGATCCATGGCTCTACTCTGCTCATCAGTCCTGCTTCACTTCAGCTCATTTCCAAAACACATGTCAAGATATGGGCCTTGATTTGAGGTATTTAATCTACCTGTTTTGAAACAACATCATAGCAAGACAAAATTCAAATAAGAATGCATTCTTTAATTATCATTAACCAAGTCAAGATAATGAGTTCCATAATTACAACACAATGAAGTTTATCATTCCCAAGCCCAGGAGAAAATATAAAGAAATAGCTACTTTTTAAAATTTGTTTGTTTTTCTTTGCAGCTTACTTTCAATTTATTTTTTAAATGCATAAATTTAATAAGCAGTCCAGATGTAGTTGGCTGCTAAAGAAGGGAATCATTCATCCTTAGAATAAAATGCATTGACTTCTAGGATTTTAGATCTCACATAAGAAAGCAAGCTTCTGTCAGAGGAGCCCAGGGCTTCCACACCTGCTGAAACAGGGTCAGGCCTCAGCAGCTGGCTCAGTTCCTCCTGGGTGAGGAGGGTTTTTGTACGCCGAGGCAGTGGAGAGCTATCACTGTGGTGGACGTTCGGCTCCGGGACCAAGTTGGAAATAAAACGTGAGTAGATCGCTGGTTTCCTTCTGTTGTCCATGTCTCGTGGTCTCTGTGTGTGTGAACTGAGCCTCTGCAACCTGGCTCTGGCACCCTCCAGGGAAAGGTGACTCTGGGATCTCTAAGCAAACTTAAGAATCAAAGGCACATTTTTGTGTGAAGAGCAAGATTAAGTCATTGAGTGAGAAAAACTAGGTAACAGCCTTAGACACTCATGGGGGGCACGCTAGAAGGTTCCAGAGCCTCACTCAATTGTCAGGGAGGGAGACTCAGTTTTTGTACAGGAGGGAAGTTCAGAGCAGTCACTGTGGTACACGTTCGGCGCAGGCACCAAGCTGGAGATCAAACGTGAGTATCTTTTTCAACCGATTCTTCTCTTCTGTCTAATTGCCTTGCTTTGTTCCTTTTTGTATGGTTTTGTTAGTTAGTTGTTGGGGACGTGAGAGATTTCATCCCCAGATTAGGTTCAGAGGAGGTGGCTAGTCCTAATTTATAGGATTTCTAAGTCAAAATAAAAATGGGGAAGAAGGGTGGCTGCCCCTCTAGAGGGGTTTTCGTAGGGGAACAAGGCAAAGCGAGTCATTGTGATTCACGTTCGGCGAAGGGACCAAACTGGAAATCAAACGTGAGTACCATTTTGCTCACTATTCATGACGTTTGGGCCGTGTTGTAACATTTGTGTGATTTTGTGATATTTTGGTGAACTGAACCATTCCTGGTGACAGAGAAGTCAATCGAAGAAAACCAGAAAATAGCCAATTTAAAAGCAAATAGATGAGGGGTTCAGTTGGGAGAAGAGAGAAATGGCTGGGTCTTTCTGGGAACCAGCCTATCTGGTGAGACTGGCAGCCAGGGCGGGTTTTTGTAGAGGGGGGCAAGCTGGAGCTGGCACTGTGGCTCACGTTCGGTGGCGGGACCAAGTTGGAGATGAAACGTAAGTGCCTTTTCCACTGTTTTTTCTCATGGAATTGTAAAATCGGGGGGGTTTTCATGTTTGGAGTGTAAGTGGAGGTCAGTTCTGAACAAAACAGGTTTCTTCCAATTGAGTTGGGGGCTGAAAGTCTGTTCACCTCAAAGAGGAAGGGTTTTTGCTGAGGGGAATGTGATCTAGTTAATGTGGTGGATCACCTTCGGCCGGGGGACACGATTGGAGATGAAAAGTAAGTGATTTCTCTGTTGCCTTCTGGAACTTGGGTGCAATTCCCCTTAGCCCTGACTTGTAGAAGCTGAAGTAGGAGGTTGTCATCAGTTGCAACCTCCAAAAGTAGATTTGGAAACAGAAATACTTAAAAGGGCTAAAACGAGTGACTCAAAGTGGGGGTAAAACAGGGTAGACAGAAAAGTCAATTTCTGATTTTTATTAAGTTTTGTCAGATGTTGTGTGGGTTTCGGTCATTGCGCATTGTGATATGGAAAAGTTGGGAAATGGACTTCCTAGTCTGTTTTCTTTTTTGCCTGATAAATTATTTTATAAGGCAACTATGAAATGAATAGCAGGCCCAAAAAAATCACTTAAGTTAGAAAATTAAGCCTGTTTATCATGTTGAAGAGAATCATCAGCATTGTCACTTGTAGAATGTAATATGAGTGCTAAATGCCAAACCAAGAGATTCTGCAGGAATCAGATCTCAACAGATCTCATTGATAGCTCCTTTGTCAAAATTTAATTTCTATACTAGAGTAAATTTGAGGTGATCTGTTATCATAATGGTGAGAAGACAATTGACCCCTAAAACTGTTTTTTAAAAATGTGTTTAAATAAAGGAAATTAATCATTATGTTTTTTAAATGTCCATGGTTTATAGGAAATATTTTAAAGAACATGTTGTTTTACTACCTTAGTTATCACGGGTCCATATTCTCACGCCACGTGGCCTTGCTGGCGTGGTCTGTAGGTCCCGTGGCTCCCTTTCTGGTACTGAGTACTCCCGTGGCCACTCACGTGGCAGTTCACCTGGCCGCTAAAGGCCACGGAAACCCGTGTTAGCTGGGTGACCTCTGCTGTGACCACTTTTCCTGGTACACAATGATGCAGATGATGCCACTAACATAGAGAGGGCAGAAACAGGGTGGGCAGAACACCAGTACAGAGAAAACTGATTTATTAAAGTTTTCAGGAATAAAATTATATTAAAATCCATTATTATGTCCTCTCAATGAGGCTGTAAAAAAAGATTTTTTTTAGTCATATATCATTATTTTATCTAATCTATTTACAAAAGCTCAACCCAAAAGAAAGAAATAGAGTCTACATAACTCTTTCAGGGTAAAATCCACAGGAGTGAAAACCAAGTTTGATGCCAGCAATCTGACCCCTCAGGACTTGGTAAATTCACTCTGAGTTCACATGAATACAATTGCACTGTATTAACTGGTAGAAAAAAAAGTCTGGGACATGCTTTTAACTTTCATAAACTTAACTGCTTGGGTAGAATTATGTTTGAGTTGTAGCTAATTTTATATAAATGTGATTGATAAAAAGTTAACAGACATTTTCAATACTGTAAATATTGTGATAAAAAAATTAATCTGGCTTAACATCATAATGACTTGTTTTTGTGTAGCCCCACTGCTTTCAAATCTGTGCTTAAGAAGGATTACTTTGTTCTATGCAGGACAGGACTATTTTAGGGCTCCTTTGAAACCTTTTAATGCATTTTAGAACTATTTATTTAACTATTTTAAGTTACTTTGAAACTATTTGGGAGCCTTTAAAAAAACTCTATTAAAGCCTAATGCAAAATCTTGAAATAATTTCCACATCAAATACAGTAATTACTAAATATTTTAAAGCTAGATGGAAAATTTGATTTGGCCCAGGAGGATCTCCACAGAATGTATTACTCTGCTTATTTTTCAGAGATCACATTATTTTGACACTGAGACTATTTTAATACAATCATTTTGTGAGAAAATAGTAATGAAGGTTTAAAAAGGAAAAAAAATAATAACAGTTCATTTATCTTATGTTGAAGTGCTTGGTTAACATTGGGGTTAGCTTTATTAAAAAAAAAAATTAAAGCTGCTCACATATCTGTTGACTTCTCCCAGCCAAGAACTCTTGATTTTCATTTTTCGTTTTTACTATTTTGCTGGGCTTGCATCCCCGCTGAGGGGATTTCCAGGAGGACACCTGGCAGCTGCTGGAGGTCAAAACTGAAGCTGGTCAGGTCCCCCAGACAGGTGGCCCGGGTGACTGTTGACACCTCCAGGTCTGGCTAAGAATTGCTTCATGTGGTTGCAGACCATCAGGCAGGGCCCAGTCTCACTTTCAGGGCTTCATGAGGGACAGGAGAGCTGCCTGCAGGTCTCCAGAGGGACATGCCACCCAGCTGAGGCCCACCAGACCCAGACGCAGCTGGGGCTACACAGGGCCTTCCTCTACATGGAGGGGTGGAGTCTTGCCCTGAGGATCCTCAGGGTCAGATGAGGTGCCCTGTTTTCTTGGCCCAAAGCCCTGAGCTTTTGGAGGTGGCAGGGGACACAGTTGAAAGGCCTCAGAATGGCTTCAAAGAGTTCAAACTCAATTTAGCACTTTTTAAAGGGGCAGCGGGGAGCAAGGGAGTAACACCAAACCCCGGACACCTTACGGTGCTTCCTGGCTCTGCTGCCTCTGCAGCCACCCACCTGCACGCACCCAAGCCGAGACCTTCCTGGGACTTAGCCAGCTCTGTGCTTCCTTCCCCAGGGGACGTGGCTAGACCAAGTGTCTCTATCTTCCCACCGTCTTCGGAGCAGTTGCAGTCCGGAGGGGCCACGGTTGTGTGCTTTGTGAATGACTTCTACCCCAGAGACATCAACGTGAAGTGGAAGGTGGACAACGCCTATTACAACAGCAATATCCAGAACAGCTTCACAGAGCAGAACTCCAAGGACAGCACGTACAGCCTCAGCAGCACCCTGTCGCTGACCAGCTCAGAGTACAACAATCACAAGAGCTATACCTGCGAGGTCAGCCACAGCAGCCTGTCCTCGCCCATCACCAAGACGGTCAAAAGGAACGAGTGCTAGAGTCAGAGGCCGCGCCCTCCCGCCGCAGGCCTGGGCCCTCTCCTCACGAGGGACCCACCCCAGTTGCAGTCCTCCTCCCCCTCCCCACCTCACCCCTCCTCCTCCTTGGCTTGAATCAGCTGGTAATGGGGGAACAACAAATAAAATCAATCTTTGCACCTGAGGCTCTCTCCTTCCTCATTTAATGTTTTAGGCATTATCCTTCAATTACCCAGTTTCCCCTTTAAGGGACTAAATGTCTAGTTGCCCTAACACGCACCACCATGTATAAAAACCATCCTCCATTTCACCCTATCCGTCTGCCCTGCACAAGACCCTGCTCTCTGAGACCCACACACCACCTGCTCACCACCCCCTCCCCTGGGCCATGGCTCGAGAGCCTCCCCCTTGGTCTCCCCTCCTCAGCAAGTTTCCCTAAGGACGATGGTTCCTGCAGTCCATATCCCTTGATCCAATTCAAGCTTCCCTGAAAACTTAGCAGAGCAAATGTTTCAAAAGACGAAAACAGTATAGGCTGAGGGTGGACTCAGTGGTGAGCACACGCAGCGTCCTGTGTTCCATCCCCACCACTGGAAAAAAAGAATACAGCCCTAAGGAGGGTCAATCATCGCAAGATGATATGGAGTAATAAAGCCACATGACCAGCCTGAATGAACAATCAATAGGGTAATGTCAAGTCCATTACACACTGGGATACCCGCACCTGGGTTTAACCAAAGATTGTGCCTTTTTTACATTTGTAGATGTGTTTTAGGGACAACTTCTGACTGTCAAGAACAGTCTAGAGCACTTTCCACAACTGACTTGAACCCTCACGACACTGGAGAGTGCATGCTGGGTTCGTGGGAATGATGGGCAGGTTCTGGAAAGTGGAGTTTTCTGTAACTCAGCAATCCCACTCTTTAAAGGACCACGTCCCTATCCACAAAAAAACATCTGTGCAAAAATGCTTACAGCAGCTTCATTCATAAAAGCCCAGAACTGGAAATAACACAAACGTCCACCAGCAGTAATATGGGTCATGAAATCGTGGTACGTTGACCACTGAGCTGCTGGGTGAGGAGAATGGCCATAACCGAGGGCTGAAACACGAGGATAACCCCAAGAACCTAAACCCCAGGGAGGCAGTCTGTGCTCCATCCAAATAAAGTTCAAGACCAGGTAAGATAAAACTAGAAGTCGGACTGGGGTACTCTTGGCTGGGGTGAGGCAGGTGTGGTGCCTGGTGGGGACTCTGGGGGGTTGGTAGGTTCCATTCCCCCCTGTGGGGTGTGCCCCTTTATGAGTTTATGAGAAGGTCCTGAGCTGTAGGATTAGGAACCATGCACTTTCTGTATGTCTTGGCTTCAAAATCAGTCACTCCCAGTCTACACAGATGAGGCTGGAAGAGGGGAGGGGAGGGGAGGGCCGCTCAGCTGTGAGCAGGTCCTGGGGGTCAAATCTCTAAGCCACAACTCTGCTCTCTCAAGCCCTGTATTGCTCTGCCTGTCAGAGTTCATGGTGCTGTGCAGACGGGGGTCAGACAACATGCCATCTCACTGGGGTCTTCTACACCCACGGGACCAGGAACACAGACAAGAAAAAAATGAATGGAACCAGACTTCAGCAAGGAGATAAAGGATGGAAGTTACTTATCCAGATGTAGGGAGCCACTTAGGAAAGGCCTTCTTGGGCAGTGGGGAGGGACATGAAGAACATCAATGTCCTCTCCCTACCCTCCTCAGTGTGGCCTTGGGCTACCATTGCCAATCACGCCCCCGCACGACACAGACCTGAAGCACCTCTACCAGCTGCAGGAGTGCAGAGCAGCTCAGACTCTGCCCACTCTATTAACACATAACCCAGCTTCCATAATGCTTTCCTTTCCCTTCTTAGAACTGGAGCTGTAAACTCGTACACGTGCGTGCACACACACACACACACACACCCTTGATAGGGACATACCTTGCCTTTCTGTCTCTGGACAGTATTCATAATTATCACATCTTTGAAACTTTGGAGATCTGAGTTTAGTTCAGAAAGACTCAACAAAGTCCCTTCAGATGACACGAACTTGTTCACCCATCTCTGGGGACCAAACTGAATAACCAAGGGACTTCTAATCTGGCTACAACTCCAAAGCAAGCTCTTCTAAGAAGGAAAAGCTCTGAAGCCAGCCCCACCCCAACTCAAGCAGGAAGATGCCCTGGAGTTTCAAATTGTGTTCCTCAGAAGAACACTCTCAGCTCCCAGTTCTTGGAACCCATGGATGTGACCCGACTTAGAAGGTGGGTCTTGCAGACGTCATCAAATCAAAGTGGGATCATATGAAGATGTTGATGAAGATGAGGTGAAACTGGATTTTTTATTCATTGCTTGTGGGAATGAAAATTGATATAGCTACTCAAGAATCTCCATTTCTTGAAAAACTAAATAAAATACATGCACCACATGACCCAGCAATCACACTGGGCATTTATCCCCAAGAAATGAAAACTTAAGTCCACACAAAAACCTGTACATAATTGTTCATAGCAGTTTTATTTGTGAATAGCCTCAAATTTGAAATAACCTACGTGTCCTCAATAGGTGTCCCTCAGTAAGTGACTGGTCAAACAGGACTAACATGTCCCTCAGCAGGTAACTGACAGGCCATGCCTTGGAATCCTATGAGGAACGGGTGTCAGAGCACACAACCTCACCGGTGATTCTGAAGGGGATCACACAGAGTGAAGAAGTCTAGTCTCAAAGGGTCACAGACCATAACATTCCTTTCATGTAACAGTCTTGAAATGACAGATATGGACAGGGAGGGCAGATTGCTGGTCATGGGGGAAGTTGGATGATGGGGACAGGAGAGCAATGTGACCATACAGGGGACATCACAAGGGAAGTCTCTGTGGTCAAGGGTGATTCTGCATCCCAACTGCAGTGATAGTGACACATGACAAAACCACGAAGACCTACACACCCTGTGTCAGTGTGCGAGTCTTGGTTTCGAGTTGTGCTCTGCAAGAAGTAACAGTCAGGGCAAACTGTGGGGGTCATCCAGACCTCTCTCCTATGTTCTGTCTCTGCAACATCCTGCAGAATATCATTACAGTATTTTAAGATAAAAAGTTTTTTAAAAAGAAGATGAAGTCATACTGGATGAGGGAGAGCCTTGAACCAATGGCTGAGGTGTGTTTGGAGAAGCAGAGACACACAGGGAGAGTACCCTATGGCCAGGGAGGCAGGCGCTGAGGAGGTGGCCATGAAGCACTGAGCGCTGCCGGGAGCCACCAGGAGCTAGGAGAGCTGTGGGGAGGTCTGTCCCTCAGGCCCTCCAGAAGAAGCCAACCTTGCCAACTCCTTAACTCCACAATTGTGAGACAATAAATGACTTGTTTAAATCCCCGGTGTGTGGACTTAGTGAGGACAGTCCCAGAAAACTGACATAGTGTGGCTGCAGAGAGACAGGTCAAGTCCCCAGGAACATCCTCCTGCACTGCCAAGGTGTCCCGTAGGTGTGACCTCCCCAGGGACGGCTGGCCAAGGCCATGCACACACACACACAGCACTCCTAGGGCCTGAGAGGTCCTCAGGTCCAGAAAGTTCAGGTCGATGTGAGTGAAAGGCCAAACCGACAAGAGACTGAGCCTTCTCGTGGGAGGTGGCCTGCTTGGGGCTCTAAGCTTAAGCTCTGGAGTTGGAAAGCCCTCACGGTGCTGTGTGAGCCTCAGCAAGGTTCTTCACCTGTGTGGCCCTCACGTCTCACCTGTAGGATGCAGGAGTGATGGTACCACCTAGTAGGTCAACAACTGCCAAGACTCAGTGCCAATGTCAGGGGCTCGGCACACCGACCAGCTCCTCCCCAAAGCTCATGGGCGCTGGCTGTTGGAGGAGCACGCTGTGCCCTCCTGGTTCTGCAGGGTGGGCTCTTGGGCTTCAAGCCCGATGGGTCCCATGGTAGGTTTAAGGAAAAATGGAGGAAAGAGAGAGAACAGAGAAAGAAAAACAAAAGAAAAAAGGGCAGAAAAAAAATAATGGGAAGGAGTCTGCCCAGAAAACAGGGGGACTGCACCATGACAGCCCCACCGACATCAGGGGGAGCCCCTCTCTGCAGTGGGACAGGCTCTCAGCACACGTGAGCTAGCCGGTGTGAAGCAGCAGGCATTCCAAGGGAGAAGAGGCAGGCCCAGCCATGGCCCCGAGCTGGACACCAACCACTGTATGGTGAAGATGCCTTAACGGCAGACGATGGGCTGTTTGTCAGTCAAGACACAGCACAGGAGGGAAGACTGACACTCCCAAGAGTGGGCAGTGGGTCAGCCTGACAACTGTGTTTATCAAAGATTAGGGCAGAGCCACCGCCAACCCTGCATCTCACCCGCCACTCCTATCAGCCACCCACACACCCAGCCCCCATCTGCACCCAAGCCCCCGTCAGTGGGACAAAGTGCTGCACAGGAGACTGGGAAGCCCTTTCCAGCTCAAATGTCTGCAGACATCACAGCCCTGAAGTGGGATCTTCTGTGGCTTCAAGGGGCTGTGGTCTCCATTTTAAGCTTTTTTCTATATAAGGAAGAGCCTTCAGAATGAGGTTTCATAAAGTTGGTGCTAATGCCTTTGCTCCAACAGACCCCTGAGCAAGTCAGCAAGTTGCATGTGTTATTTTGGAGAAGAGGAAAAGGGAGATGAGAGAATGGTGGAAGATGGGAGAAGGGGGGGGATGTGGAAGAGGAGAAAGAAGAAGCAAAGGCCAACGGAGGCGTACAGGGGAGGAACAGGAAGGGGAAAGAGGAAGCCACACAGATGATGCTTCTTTGCCTTTGTACGCAGCATGGGTCCAGGCCCTGGGGCCCCAAGCCTCAGCTCTTCGTCCTGGTCAATGTGACAGCCCTCTTTGCTCTTTCTTACAGCGGGACCCGGGAGCCCATGAGTGTGGGTCTGTTTACCTCCATGGCTGGTGCCACATCCAGGGGCTCTGCAGCCCTCTCCCCGGGGTTTGAGCAAGGGGAGCCACACCAGTGGTGGAGTCAGCCACAGCCTGCACAACAGGAGAGGATTAGCGAGCAGGCTGTCCCCATACGGGGCGGCCTGGAAAGTATCCACAGCTCACATAGCAAGCTGCTTTACCCTGGGCCTCTGCTTCCTCCGTTTCCTAGCCCTGGGGCCATCAAGCTCTGGACATGAGACTAGTCC